AAGTCGCGACTGCAATCCAACCGACGAAGAAAGCAAGATTGTGGTATTTTATAAAACGAAATGAGGCGTATCTCCTCCGTCATTATAGAGCAACGTATTTAAGTTCTGCTCTTAATCTCCTGTTTGGAATGTTAAGGTTCTCGTCTCAGTGACCCTTGAAGTGGTTTAAAACAATATTTTCTGGTCGTCAAAGTGACGGTCCTCTGTCACCCCTTGGATACCGCCGACGCACAGACAATTGAGTTTCAAACCAGCACTCCACTGCTGTTCAGCTATTTTGCTTACCCATGAAGCTCTTTTTGTAAGCAGATCTATAACTTTATGCTATTTGTTGTTGTAATTCACGCGGGTGTCGCTAACTCCTTTGCCGTTAAATTAATTTTTTAGATGAGATTTCGTTCCTTTGTATGACATTTTCGCATAATGTCGTCATCTATGCTGACAGTAATGCAGAAGCTAATTTACAATTCTGAACTGTAATCCCAGTCCTCAGCCTTATTACTTGCCCACGAAGCATTAAATAGTTATAATCCTGTAGCTTGGATGCTCGTAAGCAGATCAGTAATTTCGAGGTTTATACTTACGTGGATAGTTATCGGGTACCGTGCTTGTCGCTCAGTGTACATCTAAATTTTGTGTCTGAAGTCAGTGAGGAATGTTTTTGCTATTTTTTTTGATGAGATGGGAGGATGAAGAATCCTACTTTGTATAAAGTAACCGGCCCAATAGTTTCAGAGAGATTCGAAAGCCACACTCGTTAGGAATGCCAGTACAGAGAAGATATTAGCTGATCAATTAAAATTTAATTCAAATAATATCTCCAATGAAATGGTTGGCAGTGTTCAAGTCGCAGCCATCGCAAGGCACACTTCTTGAATGTCATTGAAATCAGCCTCGACACTACAAATACAAATTCTGGCAAGTATTTATTTTAAGCAACCGTTTAGTAATCTAGCATTTATTAGACACGTAACCCCATGACAAACATTAGTGAGTTGAAAATGGAAAACCGCTAGAAAGACTAACTGTACAGGAGACAACACACTTGTTCATTGGGCTGCTGCACTGACAGCAATTTCGGGAGGCGGACTCATGAAACTCCTTCGAATTTCTTCTCTTTGATCCTCTGACTTTATGTGCCTGGAAATAAAACATAGCGTTGTTTTCAATTGCAAAAATAGATTGATCGCTTCATACCTAAACTGAACGCTTTGCTCCAAATGCACAAACTTAATCCCGCATGCTTTGAGCACGTCATTGTGCATTTGTAGTACACATCACATATGATTTCGACGAGAACAAAAGAAGTCATAAACGAGGCACTGTGCTGCCGAACAGGCCAGTGTGATTCCTGTTTTCCTCTAGTACCGTACCTAATATTTTGCTTCGTAGTGAAGATGTCGAGAGCCGGCAGAGCAAACACGAAAGACATTTGATAGATTTGAAGTCTACTGAGCAAAAGTCAAACAAGACTGGACTGGCAACCCTACGTGAACAGCACAATGACAAAACAACAACCGCTGCTTCCTGGGGCTACAAGTCTACAACTACGGCGAAACGTGGTGACTCCTTTTTGCGAAGATTACCACTGAAATAGTAGCAGGGGATTTAAGACGTGTTAAGGACCTGGTATTGTAAGATAGATTAATCAATGTAAAAATTTGCTATTGAGGATGTGCGGTAAGATTTTAAAGGCATAAGGGCAAGTTATTTAACCGAGTTTATTAAAAGTGGTCAAACTATGTTGGTAAATCATGCTCTTATCAACAGGACTTAAAAAACTGCAACGTTGAGGTCAAAAGTGGTGCCTATTTATTCCCCCGCTATATTAGGGTACAACGTTGAGACTCTTAAATATGGACAGAACCTATTTATTCGTTGCTACGGCCTAATACGATAATCAAACCAGATGCGACAAAACACATAACAGCATGGACATTCACACAAAGCAATTTAACCAACAACAAAAGCGAGAAAAAAAGTCAACCATGAGGAAAAATCAAATGCGTTATTTGTACATTACTTTTGAAAAAAATACTGCAGACCATAAACCAGGCAAATGAAGACTGAGGTAACACAGGAGCATTTTATTTGGATTGAGAGCTTAGGCATTAAAATTCAGATGTGATAAATGACGGTGAGGTTGTAAAACCAAACGTACTTAATAATGATTTTGTCAGAGCAAAAAGATCTTTTACCTTTTTACGTATATAACACAATTTTTTAAAATATCAAACTTGATTTTTACAGCAATCACCTGCCTATATTTATTTAAAAATTATAAGTAATGGCACATACGTGTGACTACCTTAAAATGCCTTCTTCAAATAAGTCAACTCACCAATAATCGATAAACCGTAACCCCTGGACGCCTTGAGCAGCTTCATTTGTAAAGTGACAGGCAAATAGTAGAAGATTTCGAGGCTGAACGCGAATAGCGAAACGCATAAACAGCGCAGAGTAGCAAAGAAGAGCTGCATGGAGAGGGTTAAATACAAGCAACAATTTAAGTGCATTATTATGAAAACTAAATTAATGCTTGCCAAGTGTGTTTTTTAACTTTAAAATTGTGTTACTCGACACGAATGGAACAATTCTGCACGTCCAAATAGACTGACACCAGAACCGCAGTTATCTGAGACCAGAGAAAATTAGCAAAGTCATAGTTGTACGAATTCTAACTAGCCAACATATTAATGAGAACGCTTTTGACTTAGGTCAAAGCACAAAGCCCAAAACAAGAGTTTAAACTTTTAGGAAAAAGCACAGGCATTTTCAATTTTAAAATTTACAAATAAGTTACTGAAGCAGACAGAACAGCTGCCGAATCAAACAATATAACCAACGATTAACAAGAGGTTAAAAGTCTGAACCAAAAATAGAATGCAGTGCTTAGGACACAAACAATAACTCACCAAATGTCATCTTTCCACTAATTAATTCGGGATTTTTCTTTAGATCACCTAGAGCGGCCAAGGGCAGACCCCAATTAGCCACAGGGCCCCAGAAGTGCTGTAATCAGAGTAAATAATCAATGAGTAATGAGATTAAGTAACAGTTCAGTTTTCTAGAAAAAAATCAGAACAGCGTTCTAGATTCTCCAAATTGTTCCGCGAATGTACAGGTTTTTTAAAAACTACTCATGATATCTTACGCGAGCCAATTGCAAAAGTCGATCGTCGCTGCCAAATACAATCACCAAACAGAGCCAAGAAGCTCGAAGTCTAGATACCTTTCGAAGAAGACTTAAATGGACCCAAGGTTTACTCTTGTGTCAATCTTAAAGATAGAACTACACGAAACAAAAATTGGAAATTTTATAGTGGACCACTGGTTGAGTCTTAAAGAATTTGGACTGTTGAAGTCGAAACTACCTTCCACAATCATTTAAAAAAAACATAAGGGTATACTTTTTTCAAAATCTAGCGATTCCAAGAACTTCGGTACATGACTAATTTGGAATCTCAAATCGTAAGATGAAAAAGCTAGTCAATCTACAAAGCAGAAGCGACATAAGAGCGGCTTAAGAAACTTAATTGATGGAAATAGGAGCGATGTAAGTGTATGAACGTTCGCCAATTAAAAGCTTTCCTCACATTAAAAATACCTTAATGCAACTAGGCGTGTAGAATACGAAAAAAATGACAAAACTTTCAGCCAAAATATTGAGTCAACGACACGGATTTAGTATAAAGAAGCACAGAAATGCCAAATGCACAATTATTACCGTGCTGCATAGGTACTCCCTAAATTCCTTGTTCCATACACGTTGAAATACCCGATAAGCCATCGCGCAACTACCAGAAAGTAATCTAAAAGGCGCGGATGTAGCTGATGTGGAGTGAATGCAAACTGACTAGTTAAAACAACAAAATTTAAAAGACATAATTCATTATGTTAATCTAAGTAATTAAAAGAGAATTATAAATATTAAAAACATTAGCAAAATGTTTGCATTGTTTACATGCATTATAGGTGTTCAAGAACTCTGATGCGCTATAGTAGGAATATGTGATTTCAGAAAAAAAACTGAGGAATTAAAATTCTGGGAAAAAATTATTATCTAGATACATTTATATGCGTTTGTTTTAAAGATTTTTTGAAGTTTTTGTAAAGTGAAATATCTGCCGAAAGTATAATATCATTAGATTAAAACGCGCTACATCCTCCACACGAACCCATACGATGGATTCTAATATCTATTAAGGAATTTTGTTAGATCGGAAACAAAGTAGGTTGCCTAGTTTATTTCGACTTGAAAATACGTGGTTTATTTTGAATCAACGCAAAAAAAAAACAAATTCTGATGGCTTGGCGTAAATGTTTAAAACAGCTGTATATTTATTTTTGTATTTCTGGCGATTAAATTGGATTTCCATTTTTCTAACTGGCTCCCATTATCCTATTCCATTGATATTTTTCCTGTCAAATTTCTTTTGCACCATTTTATTGACCAGTCTAATCAAGCCAATGGATTTGCCCTTAGGCGATTTGTACCTGCGTCTCGCCATCATCATTCTTTGTTTTCTCAGCAATCGATCATGTCCTTTCAATTTCACTGTACATTCATATCCACATGCACGCACCAGCACACACGTTGCGGGTAAATTAATGATTATTTCGACCTCATTGCATTACTTTGTCTTGGGATTTCATGTGTGATATTGACTAATTTATTAGCGTTTTAGCGTATACATGGTTACAATTGGTTTACCTGAGTGGAATCGTCAAATACATTCAGTAAATATTTAACGACACCAACTCCTATGAATTAATCAGAACTCCATCGTCACCTCTATTTATTGATCCTATGATTGTGCCAATAACATTGTTGACTAACATCTAATTCGACGCTGTAGAAGCAGTGCAATCCCTCTACATTAGAGCCAGAACCAGACCGATTCTAGTGATTATCTAGATTTGTTTTCGCTTTCCCTTGCGACATATGACATCTCAACTAACATCGACTCTGTAACCGCCTTGGTGTCAACTGAATCATCAAACTCACACCTGTAGCGACTTATAAGGGCGCAGATATTCTAGGCTACACCGGCCCCAGTCAATCCTCTGCCTTTGCGTTCGAATGGCATGCAAGGAAGATAAGCATCCAACCAGAGACAGACACGTATGAGAAGCAGTGTATGATGGTCGGCGCAGCCAGTGTGGTGGACTCGGACGGACAGCACCTGACGTTTGGTTCTGGCTCGTGATTTGTTATCAACGCTTTGTTTTTTGTACCAGTCTTCTTCATACTAGGACTCGGGTATTCTACCTGTCAGTTTGACCTAGAATATGGTTCTCTCTTGATCAATCTTTGTCAAATATGAATAAATACAGATTGGCTCTCCCTTAGCCCTATTTCCTCTCATTAAGTGTCCAACAACAACTTTGTTTTACGTTGATAGGACATTACTTTAATTCACTGAATTTTTGCTATACTCATTTTTTGATATCACCATTCAATTCTCCCCAAAGCTATTTCAATCGCTTACCCATATTTTGTGGTATGTTTATTTGCCATTATGTTAATCTTATCTTGAATGTGTTCCACTGTCATCGCTCTAAGTGAGAAATATTTCGAGTGAATTGTGTGAGGAAGTGTGCAATTATAAACTTGCTTGATTTGATTGCTATACTTATTATCAATGTCCTTACCCTCCACTGATTTGCATGAGCAGTCAACCCTCATTGTTTTATAGACACTTTATTAATACGACCGCTCACAGTCTACTTGCTCTCGGGTTCTACTTACGCTAACGATCGACAGAACGGCAAATTAGCTGCTTATCCACAGCGACATCCAAGCGGATACGGCTGTAAGATCGTACTTTGGGTTCCGAGAAACGGTCTTGTACCGCCTCAAAGAAATAATAATGTGTTTATTTGCCTCGCCCAGAAATATAACTTTAACAGAACAAAGGTTGTTTTAGGATTTTGAGTAAAACCTCACTGGACCTCCATGAATGACTAGTACAGCAAATTATTAATACTTCAATTAAGTACCAAATTCGACATCTTAAGTAGTCCATCAATCAATATCCCAAAGATCGAACTGAGTTTTGGCGAAATGCTGTGTACCTGAGTATATGCTCGTGAAGTTACTGATGTTTTGTTCCACACTACACATTTTCACCTACGTTTCTTAGGTACCTTGGAGATGAAGGAAGCAGATTGCATCTTCAGTACATTTAGCAGCCTAAACTCGTAGACTAGATATCATTTCTCGGCTTGCAGTTTAAACATAATTACCGTTTAGAGAAATGCCAATGGGCAATTCCAAGTAAATTAGAATTTAGTAGTTTTTAACTTATCCTTTTTACATCTGATGCGAATCAGTCGGAATGAACTTATGACGATTACGTTCGAAGAATGAATATTTGAAGTGGGGATTTGACAGATCTTAATGTCGAGGGTTACAACAAGTGACTTGAAGCCTCGTTTGGGCCAACAAGTGATTGTTTCACAAAAGAATAGGAAATTCAGAATCAAAAAGACTCAGACGGCTATTAAAATACCAAACACAACACCGGTGATCGGGATTATTCGTGCATTTTTATACGTTATGAATGTAAACAGCAGACAGTCAATGATTTGTTAACGTGGTCTGCCAGCTGAGAACCAAAGAGATGGGTAAGAACTGAATCTCAGCCTCGGGGATGATTCTGAATTGAGTGGGTTCCCCACACTGCAATCAGTACATCTGAAACTTACCCCGGGTGTTCAAACACGATCCAGGTAGGTATCAAATGGCATGACAGATCAGTCCTGCGGCAACAGATTTAAAAAAAAACACGATAGAACGGCAGGTAAAGCAGACAATTTCGGTGTCCTTTGGTTAGTAGTATGCACTTGGACAATTTTAAAGTGCAGTTTCTTTACTCTTTTTAATGGCTTGTTCTTGGAATGCCATGCTTTATTTACCTGAAAACAGCCGCGAACAAGTAAGTTGCAAATTATAATTACAATAATATTATATAAACAACCCTGTTGAGATCAAAAACTGTTCAATTTTTCTGTGAGAGAAATCAGCGAGTTAAAATAGCGTACTTTGAGCAATTTAGTCAACTTCCACTACAGAACAGCAGCTGTAAACTTAAGCCAATAAAATCGAAAAATGTCAGGAAATTTGTGTCACTTACCGTCATTATCGAACCTATCTAGGGAAAATTAGACATAGACATATGTCCACGCCGAGCTAAAATATGACTTTTTAATGCTTATTTTGGTATTTGGAGTCCTCCACGATAGTCTCGATAAAAAAATTGCCTAGTCGACTAAATTATTTGGAACAGCAAAATTCTGCTGCAAATTTACCAATTTGGAGTCCCGTCCAGTATTCCCGTGCATAAAGACGCGTGCAGCCCGACCCACCACCACCAATGCAACTGACGCAAATGTGTAGAAACTTATTCAAACAGGCCACAAATAGTACTACACTGTTTGGGATCCACGATTCTTCATGATTGGTTTCTGATTCTATTTACATTAATTTACTAAAATTTGTTTTGTAACCCTTTTTATCATGTCAAGGTCAACCCTGACTTGAGCTAGTTTCGTTTTCACTTTCGATTTCATTGCTTCTCTGCGCGTGGCTGACGTGATTAAAGCTCTCTACACGAGCTCTGGTCTTGTTCTGGTGTTAGCCTGGGAAGGTCGGTTCTAGCTTCAGCAAGGGATCTGGTAACGTCATTTTAGTGATCTCTTTTTTTACGGGCAAACGTAACACACACATTCATTGGTATTTGCGATAAACCTTACTTTTCATTGGCCGGTGTTCGTAAGTTCTCGACAAACGTGCTCACGTACACGCACATGGGTACACCTGACTGGCCTGACGCCAAACAAAGGTCATGGCAGTCGTCGTCTGTCCGCACGGTTCTCCCGTTGTTACAGCCTGTTGACTAGCCGAGCTGCATCGTAGATATTCCCAAGGACGCAACCATACTAAAAATGCGTAAAATGACAAATTGCGAAAAGATAAAAACAAATTTATTATCAGAAAATGCAGACATTCTAAAAACAAATGATTGTGGCTTTAATTGAAACCAAAGTAGTGGTACTGATTTTTCGAATCTCAAAGTAGAACATGCACGAGCAATGTTGTAAACACATGGTGCAGCAGATAAAAGCGCTTTGGCAAAGCTTGTTTTAATCACACAATAGAGGAAACTGTAATTTACCAAGTTTCCATTCTACAAGGAAACCGATAACCTCTAAGGTCGCTATGGTTTGACGGAACGCATTCCGGTCAACGAAATCCGTGCAATTGAATTAGCCTAGAATAGCGTGTGAGTATCTTGAGTAAACCACGTGTCCGTGATGTAAGACACGTTGAATAATTATACATTATTTTGAACGGTGGAAAATGACTTCTTGAATGACTTTTAACTACAGTAGAGATTAACAGGTTATTTGTTATAACTAATTTATCGGAGAGTTAGGAAATGTGAAAGATTTTCCCAAGAAATCGCATCAAAATGGTAACACAACTACGCACGTTTCAAATGATGTCAATTTTAAATTCAGGAGATTGGATAATGCATTGCTGTCGGGGTTTGGTGAATCCTTGCAAGGGAATCCTCATGTTATTGGGGCTGCAGAACCACTTTTGTAAGCACGTAATCCAAAAACAAGTAGAGGTTCACACAGATTAAATTACCACTGATATGTTTAAGAGTTAAAAAAGGGCTACTTGCGGTTTTCAGATTGACCATTTTCAGTATCCAACTGAGACCAAAAGTAGTCCACTCTTGCATTTGTTGTTAACAAAAGTACCGATACAACAATGTTTACGTTTGCCTCTTAAATTCTACTAACACCTCAATAAACAGTAATATAGGATAAATTACTAGCTGCGCAAAACTGAGTTTCCAATGTTTCTCATGATTAATAATCGATTTGTGCAGTTGTCCTGTTAAGATAAGTGGCCAGTTATGTCGAACAGCCTTTTTGAGAATCGCTTCTGACTTTGGCTCGGTTTCTAGAAGGTGAGTCGCGTTGGGCTGCAGTCATTTTTTTCGTAAATCGGTTGGTCAGAATTAAAATGCAAATAAATTTGATCAACAATAGTTACAACGGACATATTAATGTCGGGTTTTACGCTAAATGAACGGCAGTGCGTTAATCATGACACACACTGGGTATTTTGCTTAACTCCGTAAACAGGGTGCTCATTCAGGGGCGAATTATGCCATTTTTAATATTTTTTCATGAGTTAATAGGGAAAGTAGGCGCATCATCGAGTCGTCCATGGAGTCCCTTGCGAAGAACTATGGCGCCGTAAATTACGCTTGAGAAAAAATCAGCGTGTACTTTTACACACACTATTTCTATCACACCAGGTCAATGCTCATTACACTGAAGCACCTCCGACGCGTCTGAATGCAACACCCACGGGCAGCAAGCACTTTAGTTGGGCCTAATTTATCGCACAACATGAAAAATGATGACAGCAATGTTGGGATATTAAACTGCTCCGCTCTCAGCGCTTTCCACTATCCCCAGTTCTGCAATACCTTAAAATATTCGAGTGAAATAGGCTTTAATTTGATGAGATACGATAGTGCTCCCTTGGATTACTTGGAACATTTTAAACGAGTGCAAACCATTGTAAAGTGGTAATTTACTCAGATTACCGATTCAACACATAATTCAGGTATAGAAAGCAATTTGAACTACGCAAATTGAACCTCAGACCAAATCCTGGTTTCTGTAAATCTAGTGTTCAGAAACTCCAAATATCACACAGACAAATACAATGTTTACTACTACAAAGAAGCTATGCTACTAGAAACCTTGTACCACGTCTATCTGACCGTGATGGCAACAAAATATTTGGCTTCCACAGTAGTGAAATAATCAAATAAAGGAGTTTGGAGGGATTCTGGGTGCTATGGCAAATGTAGAACCTGACAACCGATTAAACTAGAAGTAGAAATACTTCCGCGTATACCCCAAATTTGTTAATTCTATTGTCTAGTATTTTTCTTAAAATGAAGCACACAAGATAACGTGGTTTCTCGAAGATACTCCGGGCTGACTTCAAGAAGGCATTGTCAGGAGAATTTACACCCCAAAAATGTAACAACAACACCCATGGTATCGCTTTACTGAGGTGGTTCAACTTTCCTCCTCTCGGAGACTCGAGGAAACGTAGCAATAAGCAATGCCACGACTGGTGTTTAGAGAAAATTTGTGAGCGGATTCCCTACATAAATATGGATTCCCCATTGCACCAACAGTGTGCAAGCTATCGGAGGCGCTCAAACTTGCAAAAAAACACATCTAGGTCCCCTTCCACAACTGTTGGAACACCGCCCCACACGACCAATGAAGTGGTGGGGACTTGCGTCCTGCGTCTCCTAATCGCAGGTCCATCGGAGACTGTGGTGTACCGTCGGAATATTTAGCACTTGCACAACCAATACAAGGGCATAAGGTGACTAAAAGTAACCACTAAGAATTTCGCTTAGACATTTTACCACGAAACCCTACTTTGGATATGGGTGCCAATTGATAAGATATTTTAAATAGAACATATATGCTACAACGGAGCGTTCACATTTCAATGAAAACAACTCGTCCAAAGAAAGTTCATCAAGGCGGTGAAAGTGGAAAAATGAGAAGAGCTGCCCACTGCCGTCCCGTGCGCGAACGGGCCAAGTCAGAAGGCAGCGAGGGTGTTCCTGTGAAGAGCATATATGTCGTAGAGATATACGGAAGTGAAACGGAGGGGTGATTATGTTATGGACACTGGAACTTTTCGCTCGCGGCTCAAGGGTGTCGATGCAGCCACAGTGCATATTGTTTTTGACGACGAATGAAGTAAAATTCAACACAATACGGCTTTCGCAAGCTCCTAGTCTCCGGGGTGTTCGGGACAGGTTTGCTTTCTTTGGAACCAGGCGTCGATGCACCTAAAAACGAAAACATAAGAACACAAACACGACGCAAGCACATGAGGGATTCAACGCAGGGACTGTTTCAGGCAGACAAGTACAGAGGAATAAGGAGGGTCCGATGACAGGAATTCACACAAGCAAACATTTCAATCGACAACACCCTGACGTGAAAAATAAATGAGACCACTAGAGATCAGACGCAGATGCCAACAGTGCTAAATGCTAACTCGAGGGAATCTGCCATTTACATGCCCTTTTAAGCGTAACACATGGTCGAAAGACGAAACAAAAACACCTAATGTGAAATCGACGGTTTTAGCCAAGAAGTGAACCAAATTTTTCACAATTTAAGGGCTTAAGAAACACCAGCATTACGCACATTGAATGAAAGAATTTATCAGGCAACACATCCAGGGTGGCCATGCTTTAATCTGCAATAAAACGTCACTGTAGATTTCACCTATTTATGTTAATCTATACTTTAATCTACTTTCTAAACGGAATAAATCCGATGCTGGCACCACAGAGGTAGGCAGCTGATGAGCATAAAGCATCACGGAAACAGCGCTTGGCCTTGGCTAAGCTGTGTGAGCACGAAAAAACGCACGGCGACGAGCGAAAAGGGCGCGGAAGGTACAAAAATAAAACGGGGCAGAAGTGGGATGCAAACGGAAAGGTAGTATTTTATCCGCACACACTCAAGGCACAATGTCTCTGTCACACTCAAGCATCTGCTAATTCCACTGCTATGTTAAGACGAAGTCAACGCAGATAATTCAGCACAAAAATGCGGTTTGTAGGCGATGGACAAAGTGTGAGAACATGGTAGGCACACACCAAATCCGAGGTGGTGCTTAGTGCAAAGTGGGCATTTAAAATTAAAAAAAAACAGGGGTAAATGACTTTTCACTTTGGCTGGGTTACATCAAAACGAAAACCTCTTCTGAGACGACGACTGAACGGGAAAGGACCTATCTTAGGACCTAAATGCGGCAGCAGTCGCACCACGAGAGCTTGTACCGCGCATGTGGATGGGCAATCAAAATAAGAAGCAACACACAACTGTACTTTTCTGATTTAAGAAAACCACCAACAAAACCCGAGCAGTCGTGATGGAAAAGCAAATTTTACCCACGGCTCGAATGTGGTTGTTGAGATGTTAATGCATAGCACTTATTTGTTGGAAATAGTACAGGACGAACTGGGGGAGCGTGGCTACATTAGCCGCCATGAGGTCAGCGTACACAACGCGCTAGCAAACCATTCAACCACTGTAACCTCTCTACAGCGACGAAAAAGACGAAGAAACACCTCTTTGTATCCTTTCAAGGTCAATACCTGACGCTAAAATGCTAATGTTTTACAGGAATTGTGTCTGGAAACGTTCAACAGATAAGCCGGCAGTACTCGAATTCTCGACAACATCCGAAACAAGGCCTCGACAGATGAATGCAATGGTTCGTGCACATCATGAAGTGTTACAATGGAGGCTAACATAAACAAGTCAACCAAGTCAGGAAAAGAGGCGATTCCTCATTGGGCCGCTTGAAGCCACCTGTGGAGGTTCAAACGCCAGCACTCGCCAACCGTCGAAGCAACATGCTCCACTATGTTAATGCACGTAGACACGCCAATCCTCCATATTTCCCCAACGCAGTACTTACAAATTACTTGTTTTGTTGACGCTGCCGAGCGTTTTAGAAAACGGACAATTTAAAATGGCCCATATTCTCTCGATCCCACTCTTTTACACCCTATGTTGAAGCAACCTTGATAAGTGTTTTTGCAAGCAAATAAAGAAAACCTTACTGAAAAGGAGATTCCGAAGTTTCAGCTTACTTTTTGTGGTAAATAAAGACAGGGAAGTCGTGCAATCAAATCACCAGCTTTCATGTCTTCTAAACAAATGGCACACTCCCCCTTGTCTGACTGAAGGGTATCCTCTAAAAAAAAACAAAATTTGAGCCCAATCAATTTTGACAACCATTCCTTATTCTTGTTGTGTATTTTTTTAGAAAAAATTGTGAACAGCAGCCCTGGTAATTCGGTGTGTGTCAATGTGTAAACACACATTCCCATGTTCTACACATAAACCCAAGGCCATACCACACTGCCTCCACTTCAGGAGCAACAACATTCTCCCGAGTTATACCTTCGGATAACCAGTCCCGCCCACCTTCAAGACGTAAATTTTTAAAGTACTTAAATTCTTCACCGATTGATACATCTGCTTATCAACCATTAAACCCATATGGGAAATAACTTCCACTGAATTTTAGGAATCGTTCGTTAATGCAACTGAAACCAACGATAATGCTGGGCTATAACCACTAACCAGGTAGACACACAATATTCAGGCTAACGAGAGCACAACTCACCGTTATAAGTTACACGGGGTCGGGTGAGACACATCACATAGTGAAGGTCGTAGTCATCATGTGGGATAACGCGCTTGCAAAATACGCAAGGTCGGTCGCGGCCTGGAAAACAATAAAAGTTTGGTTTTTAGGTAAGTGTGGCTGGCGAATTTGTGCGCATGTTTAGGTTTGTCAGATACTGCCGTACTTCGCATCAAAATGCATAACAGAACGAGACACCTAGGTCGCAAATTAACGCTAGAGGAGGATAGATAGAAACTCTGGTAACGGTTCATAAGCCCTCGAGACAAATTATTGGTAGGTTTGATGAGTAATGAGTTCACGCACAGACCCCGCGAACGAGCATAAATACTCCCGACTGACACAAGTCCCAACACCGGATGCAGAAACGAGAACAAGATCTTGCGGAGGACTTTTGACGTTGCAAATAAAAGGCCAGGTAGCATGTACGGTGCGGTTATGGCAGCCAATCAACTAAGAAACTTAGGGTAAGAGCCAATAGGACGAGGACAAAAAGTGTGCGCGATCGATATGAGACAGTAAGCACACCAAACTGAACGCAGACATGACTGAATTCAAAAAGAGGAAATATGAAGTATCAAGTGTACAATAAGTAGAGAGTGAGAGAGAATGCTGAGGTGCCCAAATAATTTTAGTGCATGAGAAGGGTGGGCGCTCATGAAGGTTTTAAATAAGACCGACAAAAAGAGGAGAGGCGGCACCGACAACCAGCAACGGCCCTGCTGAGTCCCTTGCAGTTTTGAATGAGATACGACCGCAAAAAGTACCGAGTTGAATATAAACAGAGGTGGCCCCAAAAAAGTCCACGCGCTGGTCAAGCCAAAATAAGACGCAAGTGCACACACAAAGGAATGATTTGATCGCATTTAACACGTGACAGGATCATATTGACTAAAGTTCACATGACACAGTTCACGAACAAAACAAGTTCATCACGTTCCACGGTACCACTTGATCATCCGAACTAAGCGACAGCTTTACACAATAAATCTCCTTTGGTAAATAAAAGCGAAAAGTGAAATGATGCTTATTATGATTAATTTCCCAAACAATGAAAAGTGTTAATTGGATTCCGTAGGTTGAGTGAATGTTTTGTCACGAAGCAAATAACCACCTCTAGGACATTTGGGAGTTACGCCCCGCTCGCGATGGAGCACGGAGCAGGGCGTCACTGTGCGCCTACAAAGCCGAAATCACAAAGGCGCCAGGTTGTAGTCTGCGCGTAGCCTCTCGCGCGGTCTGGACCGGTCTAGGGCATGAACGGGCAGGGGCCTCGACAACACAACTACGGGTTGCCGGGGCTTGAGTGCACAGGGGGCATGAGTACTTGCGCGACTGAAAGGGGCAAAGCTAAGGGTTTGAGCCATCGTCGAATTAACGAAAACAACCGGCATTAGCGATCGGCTATTCTGAATCGTCTAGGACATTCAATTTTTCGTCAAGAAATTTTACGATATAACCCAGTTTGGGACCAAGAATTTATCGAACATTTTCCCTTAACCCGGTGAACTTATTGATAGGGGCTCCTCTGTCAGCTGCGATGCTGTTTATTCTACAGAACAGCAGGGCGAATAAACTGCACTATAAAACACCACAGAAACAGTGCTCTAGGGATTGAAATAAGTAAAGTTCAACTGGAGGGAGCGTGGTCCTTGCCATAGCAGTCAGAAAATGTCACTGGGAGCTCTCTGTAAACGCACACCAAGGCAGCAGCTCTGTTTATAGGACTAGCATTTTGCCATACACGCGGAAGCGACGCGTGGCACCGGAGAATAAATGGGCTGGAAGAGGGCGGGAGGGGAGGGAGGTTGGCTAAGAACACATAGATGGGAATTCGTTGAGTCATTAAAATGCGTTGGATAGGCGTGCATGACTTCCTCCTACTCTACACAGGTGGCAAAGACAGTAGGTCTATGAAGAAAGAAACTACGGATGGCGCGGGTGTCTCATTAAATTGCTACGGTGTACGAGACACTGCCTCGAGTTGGGAGGGCCCTTGAGGAGTGATAGTAGAAAGGTAAATTAGTGATTGGTGAAGTTTATGAAGAAACATTATGTACTTGGCTGTCAGATTAGACTTGTTTGGCAGGGGGAGTTTTGACAAACGGGTGATGCCGGCCACACTGAAGTGCGCAAATTCAGAAGCAGTTTGCCGAACATCGACGACTAGGCCTCCCTGTATCGCCATGAGCTAATATGCTAACACAAATGGCAGGTTGTGTTAAATGGAACCGAGTTTATTTGCTCACGAGCATCAGTAGGCGATATTTGACGGGGAATAACTGTTAATAAGAGGTTTTTAAGAAAAAAAAAGGCATTTACAAAACACGACGACATTTATTTATCCCACGATCTCCGATTCTTACCTATCACCGGATCACACTAACAGAAGAATGGCGAAACAAAAACAGCTAAAACATGAGGTCAGCATTAGAAGTGAAAATAACAGATTAGAATCGCTAGATAAGCTTGATAAGGTTAGATAAGATAAGTAAACATCAGGACTAATGGAATGAAAAAATTAACATGAAAGAGGATTTTTAGGGTAGTGACTTATATTTCCTCTTGACCAGCAGCTTTATAAAGACTGGAGTTGGCCTGTCATCCCGTTGATCGTTTTTGCCACCCGCCTGCTTCCCAGTCATTGAGTCGAGAGGCACGGCAGAGTGGAGAACGAATTTCAATCACTCGAAGCACATTGATGACTAAGAGAAGTTCGTTTGAAGAGGCGGCACTCACACAAGGTACAACTCACTAATTCGCACACAAAGACGTTAAGTCGTCAGAAGGGAAATAGAAAGTGCAAGCAAAAATCCACGCGAAGGGCATTAAGGAAACAATTTAAAGTTTATCTATAGGTCCTTAATGAACCAAATTTTCGAGGTCAAAACTTTTTTTTCACCTGGACGCACCACTGGTAAACAAGTAAAAAATAAGGAAAATACTTCAAGAGTTTAGGGAACGAATCATTTAAAGCTTTTCATACCCTTTAAAATTTCATGACAAACTACATTTATCCCCAAAACAGATGAACTTTTAAGTTTCGTTAAATGGGAAGTGGAACTACTTTTAAATACGTGGACCCCATATGAAGATGGAAAAAACACCATAAAAAGTCGCCAAGCGTTCAGTTAAGTGAAATAGTCACCAGGAAGTAAACAAGAAAAACAGTAACGTCGCTGGAATCTGATAACGTTTTCCGTGGACAAGGATACTTGTCACAGTAGTTCAGATGGCTACAGGACCGGTAGTGGGACTTCGCACGGCATGAGCTAATGCATTCGCAAGGTCCACCAGAAAGGTGAGTAATCCATTTTCAAAAGGCAAAGTGGACAAATATCATCGGACGAAATAAGAAAATGAACGAGGTAATAGGTATTCTGATATCTCACGACCGGATACATCAGATTAAAGCAAAATCCTCAAGACACTGTTTACAAATTCTGCATCCGATTAAATGTTCAAGGCCAATTGGAACAAACGAACGGCGATCGTATGAGGAGGAAATGTGAAACAATTAAAATATTAGCGGTGAAAGTTCCTACAGGGAGAAGAGTAAGAAAGATTTTCTCGCAGGTTTGATAACGTAAACCCAACACCGTCTGCAAACAATTGTCCGTATAAGACGAAAAGTGGCACAGACTAAATCATTGTTTATTAGAAATACGTGACTTATCCACGTATCAGCATATTTATGGACAACTCAATCATTTGATTTTTAAGTCTCGTGGATTCTTAAACGAAGCATAATTCAACGCAATTTAATGAAATGCAATATTGTAGTAAGCGTTCCTGCAAAGTATGATAAGCATGATAACGAGAACTTCAACACATTTACCAGAACCATTTGGAACCGTTCGAATACATCTAGACTTGTTTGAAATTTGCATTCATAGAGAATGACTTCTGAAGCATAGGCTTCAGATAGGAGCGCTAATTTGCTGACCGAACACGAGAGGAACTCACATATACGGCCCAATGGTAAAAGAGTAGATTTTACTGTGTTTTGTAAACACCCACTTAGATGTGAGCTAGGCTTAAGCAGCGGAATATAAATTATTCGCCGACATCCAACAGTAATAAAAAGTAGCTGAAAGTGCCAGAGAATTACAAAAGAGAAGTGAAGACAAATACCTAGGACACGGAACAACTACAGGTGTAATTGCGGAAACCCCATTAACCTACACCACAATTATTGACAAATTACATAAACAGATTGATGAAATCACATGTAACCTACAGTTTGCTAATTTGCTCTAAACAACCCCGATGGCCAAAATTGCCAACGAAAAATAACGGAAACCACGTGACCCACATACCACTAAGTAAAAGCAGACTCTCTGGCCATTGACGTCTTCTGTGGGGAGACGATGAAGAAGCCGCGGCAAGTGACAAGAGCACCTGTCGCCGCACAGCCGAGAGGCGCTCCTCCAAGCTCTCATCCTCGGTGGTAGCAGGACTGGCAGACACAGAGCCTCGATGTCGGCCACCGCTCCTCCGGCTTCGATGACTCCTGCCTGTCGGTGCTTCCATAATGCCTGAGAAAAATCCATCTGTCTCCAGTACAGATATTGGACGAGCCCGGTTCCCACCCTCCCCGCTTTCTGAACTGGAGGGATGGTAGGCTCGTAAAAGCCGGATAATCCGTGGATCATCCGGTGAAATCACACCACCATTTGCTTCAATGTCTGCTACGAGACGATCGAACAGGGCAAAGGAAGGTAGGTGGTGGGGTGTGTGGCCATGATTGCGGCGGAAACGACGTCCAGAGCTTGGTCCTGGTTCGTCGGATACTGCTTGCTGACGATTACGAGAAAGACTTCTGTTACGCGCACCGGAAGAGGGGGAGCCAGACTGGCGGTGCCGGTGATGGGGACTAAGTTGTGCAGTGGACGCACCACCTGTACTATCGACACGGCCACTGCTTATACGCAAGCCCATTCAGAATGTAGGTATAAGCGTAAAAAACGATGTATTTACTGATAAAAGACCGTGAGGTGAATTCAGCCTAGCCGTTGCAGATCTGCCAGCATCTACAGATTTGTAAGACGGGGGAGGGGCGTTCAGAAAGCAATATTAGGCGATATTTGGAATTATACAAGCAATTAAAAGAGCGAACCCTGGTTGGTGGAGCACATATACGTGCTTATTTCCAGACTGGTAAAATATGTCGAAAAAATTCATTCAAATAATTGAGGAACCCAAAGTTGGTATGTTGGTGATATATGCAGCAGTGATTAGGTTTCAAACGCAACTAAGATGGAATTGAAATATTTCCTTGTTGGCTGCGAAGTGCTTCACGTTCCAATAAATCACAAACTTGAAAAGACCACATTTAGGATGCGATTCCATAAAATTCACCTTACACCTTACATTTACGACCCATGTACAGCCTTGAAAGTCCACGGAAGCGGAAAAAAGTCGAGATGACCACAAAAACCGGTTTAAGCCAGAATTTGCACGTCAAAACCAAATATACACAGCTAAAATTATTACACTTTAAGTACCAAACACGTGCTTTAATTATTTAGCTATGACCACGTGATTAACAAGATTAGATTTCAGAACTGCCCGATATCACCCATAAATCAATTTGCTTAAAGTCTATTTAAGGAAAATAAGAACAATAACTTGGCACCAACTACGGACGTTAGTTTAACTCAATAAGTACGGCGCGGATTGAACGGGATGCACCATCCGAATGAACGCAAAAACTGGTGACACAAAAACATTCAGAGCAATTAACATACTTTTATTGAAAGTGGCGGGTGCTTTTCTGACATCAATAAACGCGACTTGTTTAACCGCCGAACGAATAGAACGATAGATAAATCGTAAGCATATTCATTTAATAAGTGAATCTATAATAACTGTTTTTTTCAAATAATATTTACGATTTTTTTTTGAATTTTGTTCCTACTGCAAGTGAACAAGAAATCTCAAATTGCATGTTAAAAATAGCTCTGGGTGATAACATATTACCGGCAATTTATACAACCTGTATGAGGTTACAGTGTATGCCTTGTGATCAAGCCAGCAAACTGATGACGTTTCTTATTGTGCTATGTTTACTGGAAAAAATTGCTTTTTTACCTATCGTGCGCTATCCACAATTTATTTCTGTGAAATCATTATATTGCTGTGAAGGATAAATGCGGCGCCTTTTTCAGGTGACTAAAATAGAATTTCGGAATTCTGTAGAGGTTGTTTTGAATGAAGACTCATTCAGATTTACTAGAAATATAAATTAACGATTGAAAAATTCACCCTTTTAAAATAACTGCTGATGAAATCCATGTACTTACTGCCACAGCTTTAAATATTTTTCTATATTAAATAAAGCAATCTTGGGAGATTCATTCATACCAAAATGTACTAAATCGATGAGTTCAACATTTAAAACCCTATTTTCATTAGTGCAATCTATATTTAAGCCTACCGGATTCCTGAGAATTATAGTAAATACCTCGGCTATTGCCTTTTTTTTGCATTATATATATGCTGTTTTGGAGCTATATTTTATCATTCGTTTAGCACCTAGCAGTTATTGAAAAACACTAAATCTTTCCCAAATGTGCTGTAGAAGTACAGGAATTAGAGGACGCAATTTTATTTCCGAAATTTTTATAACTAATTTTTTATCACTTACTCTCGATGTTACCTATTGACCTATCCAAACCTAATACGATAATTACACATTCTGATTAGGGTAGCTTTTTATGTCACTGCGACAACCATTAAGTCGAGAGCCTATAAATAATTCCCAAGTTATTCCTCGGATTCTTGGTAGTTGCATCGACGAGTCACTTATTAAGTACTGTGCAATGGGTTAAGCAAAGATGCCAGTCAGTCAAATCCCGAATTATTTCCTGAACATATGCCAACATAAAACAAGTTACGTATTCTAACTTAAACATTGCGTACACTTGCTGCAAGCTTGATCAGTGCAATAAAGTCACTTTCATCGGCGTGGTAGAAAAAGAATTTGCTTGGCTCACTTATTCAAGCCTAAATAAAAGAGCTCTCGGCTTCAAAAAAAAATAAATACCAGGTGATAAATCTGCCAATTTCACCTGTCTTTTCTACTTATAATTACTTATCCTCAAGTTAAACCTAAATTATTTTTATTTTAATTTCAAAAAAATAAAAATAGGTACTAGTAGCTCATCGCCTTACACAACATTTTTGGAAGTGACTGGATACAAATCTAATGAACTAAGGTATGAATGTGGTGTGTGCTATACTCACGTTGTTTGGTACTCATCTATAAATAAATAAAACCAATTATTAAGGATATCTTGAGGGGTCTCTAGGGGTGAGGACGAAATTACCCTGGTACCTTTGGTCATCTTTCAGGCTTTTTTATATTCCAAACTTCTGATCAATCTGCAAACAAGTAACCTTTTAACACTATAGTGCAGACAAAATAAATTATTTAGTGGCTTACATTTGGGTGTATTTAGACATGCTTTTTGGCCTTTAACTCTGTGCCCACGCTTATTCTCTGAGAAGGTGATGGCTTCTGTTTTCCAAGTATAATTTTGGCTGTAGAAAAACGCAACATTAGGATGATTAAATGTTGTTCTATGAAGAAACGTTCTAGGTTTTGCATTTTTTAATCTTTGCCTATAGCAATACTATTAAACCAATTAAGTTTAAGAATTAACATAACAGCATGGATCGCTGCAGATGGTGACAAGATTTACGGTGTCACTCAGGATAACAAATAGCAGAATAATGAAAAAGCGCCATGGTCACAATGGGATGACCAAAGTTAATTAAGTTACGAGATGAGGAGGTGGTGGCGTGATCAAGGTTCGGGCAAATGAGTTGGCATAAAACCTTTTCTCTGCAGGCCCTTTTCTAGGCTTTCTTGTGTTTGCTTCCTTTGAATAGATCCTATTCATTAGAAAAGAAATCTAAATTACTCCGAAACTATCAGTCCGAATCAATGCCATGTGTAAAAAATTTGAACTTACCTTAGAAAATTTAAGAGGAATTTTCAGTTTCGAGTTTCCTGGCTGATTTATGTTAATAAGGAAAAAACAAAAATATTAGGAATTAGTAAAAGAAAACAAATTCTAACTATTTACCTGATGAATAACAGAACTTTCTGAACTAGCTGAGGGAATTCCAATAGGATTTTACGTTGTCCGTGTCCAGGCATTTGAAAAGGATCACTATTAATTCTGGACAGAACACTTGGTTTATGAATCCATGTTTACCATTCGCATTTACAATCACGACGACCATGTACGTCAATTTGGTGATTAATTCATTTGATTAAGGCTTCTGGTAATTTAACCAGACCTTTAGTGACTTTAAACAAAATTATTAATGAGTTGACAGAGGCAAAAAAGATGGGTAAGCAGGCTGCACAGTCTACTCAGAATCTCTTATAAGTATTAACGAAAACGAAAGTTCAACAGGTGTACCTTCATTAGCTGATCGTCGTCTTTACGAAATTCCCCTTTGCTCACATCGACATCAGAAATCTACAAATAACCAAACTCATTTAACTGTTAATAAATAAAAATGGCTCTCTTGTGAGGTTCTTTGGTTATGCGAATTCTATTTTACTGAAGGAACACAAGGGCATAAATTAGAAGTAAGATTAAGTCGTAGAAGTCTAAATGCAACATGCTTCAAAACTGATCAACAGGGGAACACAGGTGATACTTATTTTTCTACCAAAATGCCCACCAATGAGTGGAAATCCCACTTTGGACATTTCCACCACAAATTTATAACAGGACAAGCTTTTTAAGTGAGAATCTATGGCGACAATTCAAAACTTGTTGATCGGACACAAATCATGTGCTGTGAGGCAGGTATGGTTTTAATAAAGCCTTGGAGCAGTCGTGAACCATGAGTCACTCGAACTTATTTTTTTCGAAGCATGTCAAATTCCTGAAATGTGACTACTATTATTCGGCCATCTAACTATGGTAATTATGGAGTTTTGACTAGGAGGAAAAAATTTTATTTGAAAGCAGGCTTGAGTGATTCATACCGGGTGCGATTCTGGACAAGAGGAAGAAGCCTCGCAAATACTTTGGATGTCCATCAGAAGCTCCGTGAATGCATTTGGCGAAGGAGTCACTTTTGACCATTTCTCCAATAGGTTCTTTGAATGAATGCATAGAAAATGCATAAACTTTATTCGTGATAAAATTTGAAAATTTGTGTTTTTTTATTACCAGAGTAGGTAAAAGAGGAATCAGAAAGTGTTGGGGATCCACGATTCCCCAAGATTGGTTTCTGATTCCATTTACATTAATCTACTAACATTGTTTTTTTACGCTTTTTATCAAGTCAAGGTCAACCCTGACTTGAGCTAGTTTCGTTTTCACTTTCGATTTCATTGCTTCTCTGCGCGTGGCTGACGTGATTAAAGCTCTTTACTGGAGCTCTGGTCTTGTTCTGGTATTAGCCTGGGAAGGTCGGTTCTAGCTTCAGCAAGGGATCTGGTACCGTTATTTGAGTGGTCTTCTCTTTTGTTACGGGCAAACGTAACAGATACAACAAAAGGAGTTTCAACAAATGCATTGTGCCACAACAGACGTCTTTGAAATGTTGCTCATTTTTACATTTAATACAAAGAGCCAGGAGCCCACCACAAATTTGAAAAAACTGAACCCTTATTCGCTTAAACCAATTGTTGAGGATTTTATGCCATTCTAGCTAAATACTGACTGTCTACGGACATTCGACGTAATTACCAACCCATTATCAGTGAATCCAACGGACTCCTGGATGTTGTACAGATACGCAGAACCTTCTTGATATACAAAAACGAGCTCACTCAATCAATTCTGTCCTGTTTAATTGATGGCTTCTAGTGGAATGCTGCTTAAGCGATACAAGCATTTGCTTCTGGACTTTCCATGAGCTAATTAGCATAATGGCACACACAATGCCATGTCAAAGGAAATGAATTTTTCCAGTTCCAATACTTAGATGTAAGTCATGTTCTTATTGAGAGCTTGTGAGCAAGTTGGTTCCGGGAATACATACTTAGAATAGTGATCATTAAAAAATTTGGAAACCAGAAATTTGGGCCATTTTTGAGCCTTCTATAACCTAAAATGTAGTTTAGACAAATTCAAACATAATAAAATGCAAATTTGTGCTATGAATCCCTGCATTCATCAATGTTCCTATTGTTGTAAAATATTTTGCACCTTGGTATGAAGCTGAGGACATTAGTAGGTTTCGCTACTGCAGAACCCTCAACTACGCCGATGTGACTTTGTGGTTTTGTACAAGTAAAATGTCTTGATCTCAAATTAGTTCAGTTTAATATAATTAAGCCCATTTATGTGATGCATTAGAAAGAAAAATAAACCTAGTTACTGCTAAGCATAAAACACCAGAAAGAGGGAAATTTAACATCAGGAGAAACTTGTGAAATCTGTGAAACAACTTAAGAAAACTGCCACAGGAATAAATTGGGGTGAGTGTTTATGCTAGACTGCATCAAACCAGCTTTAGCGGTGAAAACAAACAAGACGTAATGATTTCTTGCATCGTCTCTTGTTTTAAATGCACGTTTCTTGCGTTAACAACCTCCCCAAATAACGCTTTCATTTTCGGCTACAATTATTCTTTTCTTAAATTTCTCTTGGAAATTTTTTATTACAAACATTAATTTCACACTCCAAAAACCTCAAGATATCAGAGGCTTCTGCAGGTAGTGTGCCACAGCAATGAGTGCAGCATGATTTAGGAAGTAGCGATTTCGTGAGGGAAACGCGGAAGAAATGAATATGCAACGAGACATTCGTAAATCTTTGCTATAGTACTAGTTCAATAAAAGGATTTATTTGACGTTACCATGGTTTCAATCAGAACCAGCAAAAAACTGAAAATTTAGGCGGTATAGAGGCTCCGATGTGGGATTCGAGCCCACACCTGGAGAAGTCAACAGAAGTCGAGTAACTGAACTGGAGAACATTAGTGAACGCCTGGTAAAAACCTTTGCAAACTCACTAAGACGAGATGATCGCCAGCCGAGAAAGCCGCATTAGCAGTACATATAAAATTGGGATAAGTTGACATTGGCTCACATATTCATTGACAGGTTGTTACATTACAAATGAGGTGGTGTTTAGGCACACCAAACAGAATCGTCGGCGGAGTTGTATTTGGGGGTAAAGAGGGTAGGAGTAACTAAAAAGGCAGGAATTCTTTAGGGGTTGTAGGACATTAACGGCTTCGGTTGCAACTCTCCACGTGGGGAACAGTTCTCCGCACGGTTAATAGCTGGGGCCGCCGAATACATTTATGCAAACGTAAGACAATATTTTCACTCATTAACTATGTTTAATCAGGCATCATCTTTTAAAACCCCGAAATTGCGACTGTCAGGAAGTTCGTTTTATTCATATTTTTTCAAACACCGTCAAATATATCATCTTTTGAAGTGTTTAGAGAATAAGAGGCCCCAATTTACCAAAGCAGACAAGTTCTTATCCGCTTAAGGAGCCACCTGAATAATTCCCTAAATTTAAAGGATCAGAAAAGTCAGGGAAATTGATCCCTGTTTTACCACCATCTACCGAATAGGTGGCAGCTAGTATCGATTCTAAAACGTAATGTTTTCTGAACCAAACCTGTAGCTCTAAATGAATTAACACAGATTTGTGTTCGATGTTAGCATTAGATTGGCAAGCGATTTTTGCAAAGTGTTCCAAAGGAAATTCTCCAATTTACCTAGACCTGAAAGTGAATTTAACGTAAAATTTCGCAAAATCTCAAAAACAGGGATATAGCCTATTTTTATGATTGATCGGGAATATTTTTTACTAAGTAGATAGCACATGTAGTAAATAGGTAATTGGGCGTACGCACCACACAAAGGTCAGGGGTCCACCTACCTTGAGTTCCTCTTCATTTCTATGCATATTCGTGGGCGTTTTGTCCTGCACAATCTTCTGATTGGGTAGCCGAACCTTTTCGTCGATCGACTGAAGGACGCCTAGCGAGCCCCGATGAATTTCGGACCGTTCATCCGGTTGGTTTGGCGGTTCAGTCTAAAAATGACGTGATAAGTGCCGGTTTGGATGGGGGGGTTGGGCTTTTGTAGTGAACGCAGCCTTAGTGATTGGCCGAATAGCGCCAGTTTTTATTCCACGTCACACAATAGATTAGTACGTGAAGTTTTAATTACTGAAGCAAATCACATGCTAACCTACATGGTGAAGAATTCTGGATTTGCCTTAGCATGAGGGTTAGTCGACATCTTAAGTTGCAGCCTGACTTAAGGAAGTTCCGCATACGCCTCATTAATTTTATGTACCACCGACACTACACTGATGTGATTGTTTCTTCTCAGCAAGTAACCAGTACGAACACAGGAATTTTGCTGCCGCACATTTAATAAAATTTAAAGATTTAGACAGCGATAACACGCCAGGCCGCATAATTTTAGGGAATGTGCTGACTGTCGGCTTAAATAACCTAAATATTCCGTTTGGATGACGTAGATTTAATTGAATGTTCTTTCCTCACAGATAATTAGGGGACACTAAATGAGCTCAGACCCCTCAGTTAGCAGTGGAATACTAGTCCTTGATTCTAGGTAAAAAAAGTGCATGAGAATCAAGTTTAAAATTAAGTATTTATCCAACGAGTTACAAGGGAGAGCTTCCAAAACCCTTGTTTGTGAGCAACGGCAAAATGATTGGGCCGATATTTACCCACAATCGTTTTGATTGGTTCCGCGAAAACTAGCGCTTCCGATAATGACTGTAACCATCAAAACAGAATCCATTTGCATTATATACGCCTAATTTTTAATTGAAACCGTCATTGTTACTTAAGGTGAACAAGCTGAACTAACAAAGGCACACCCAAAAGAGGCACGATTAAAAATTATAAAAAAAGGTATCAGAAAAGAAATCGAAGTGGAGCGAGATGCACCTCAGACTATGCTCAAGTTTACTGACACAGTGTAACCGCATTCTGCGAATAACGTTGAAAGCACAGAATTGTCGGTTCTACAGCAAAAACAACTGTAACTTGTAAAATTTGGTGTTACACAAAAGATAACTTTGACTGGTTGTCAAAGAAAACGAAGAAAAAGTGGAAAGACTTTGCATATCCACATTGGCATTTAAGAATGTGATTTGCTTGAAGAAGACAGGGCTTTTGATAAAAAAAATACATGGGTGAAAATTGAGATTCGAAATCTTGAGGCGAATCTTTTCGTTTCTTTGTTTGGACTTGACGATTACTAAGTCCATGAACCATGCCGGTGAATTTAGTCGCTACAGCGTGGTATTCGAAGGTTAGAATTCAACAGAGTTCCTCAAAATTAGACTGAGAGTATTCGTTTGACTTAAAAGTCAGATAATTCAGTCATTGTAGTGTAGTCCTCTCTTATTCTGCACAGTTGTGGAAGAAAATATTGTCCCGTGGAATGTCCAGATACCCTTGGAACGCAATTCATTAACTGTCTTATATTTAGTCAGAAATTGGTGCGTACTAAAATAAATAAAAAATAGTCGTACCTCATGTTGTGGAGCTTCTGTGTCTTCCTGGTCCATGAATACGAGGAACGAAATACAATCCTTTTCCAAGTAGTCGAGTTTTTCTTCATCGACGTTTTTGAAGGTTATCATGCGATTATGCCTGACATCCAGTTTATGTCCCTTTTTGGTCTGGCTGGCGTCCAATCTAACAACCGTCTCGTCGCCTTCTTTATACACTCGATAACGGAGCGATATTTTCTTTCCAATCAGCAGGCCAGGAATACTAATTTTGCTTATCCCTACCTGAGAAGGCAAATTTTAAG